GAATATTCGGATATAATATTTAATATTTAACAATAAAATCACGATAATTTAGTGATTGAGATTGAATAAAGTTATTTCTTTTCAAAACTAAATCTCAAACCAAATATTCTAAAATATTAACTACCCCATTTTTACAGCCTATATAAACCATTCCATGTTTTCTTAGTTTACATTCATTTCAAAAGCGAGACAAAATATATATCTCACATTAATACAAATTTTCACACCACATGCTTTCATATCGTTTTTAATCAATGTTTACTCATAATATTTTACTTTTTGTGTTTATTTTCTTTAAAACAACTAATTGTAATCTACTTTTTTGATGTAGTAGCTTGAGATTTTGAGGTCTTTGGGAAAACTACGAAGATCAACAACATCCTCCCCAATAAACCCAAAAAACATGGTATGCATTCGAAGGTTATTTAGTCCTACTTCTTATCATCATATATGTAAAAAAAGTTAAATAAAATGGTTAATATTCCTTTTAAATAATTTTCCTCTAAATTACATGGTATATATATATATATATATATATATATATATATATATATGCATTTAAGATTTTATCGCAATCGTTTATTTGTAGATTAAATCTTGATCGTTAATCTAAATTTTCAAATATCTAAAAGATTTTATAGATATTATAATTTTTATCTAAGGAAATTTATTAGGTGAAAAATCTCAATATATTATGTCTTCATTACTATTCCTATACGTGAATTAAATATTTCCTAAACTATTTAACTAAAATCATTTATATTTAAAACGTTTTTTTAAAGTAAACAAAAGAAATTAAATTAATATTTGTGCATCTTTTTTTATTCACAAACTTCGTATTAAAGGTTTTAATCCAATTTAATTTTGAAAACATTTAATTACTTATTATTAAAAAATAGCACTCCTTTTCTTTTAAAGTTTTATAATATATATATATATCTAAGTATTCATTATTTCCTGAATAATTTAAAGTTTTCAATTAATAAATGTGAAATTTATAACCAAAAGGTGCATGTAAGGCTACTAAGGAATAAAATTTAAAATAAATTCAAATTTATTTTAGTGGTTTTATTGTAACTCTTAAATTATTTTAATTGTTATAAAAGAGAAAATAAATTTGAAAAATATATACTTAAATATTTTTTTGAAACATAAGATATGCAAGATATCTTAAAAGATCTTATGTAACTAATATATTTTTTAACCATGAATAAAAATAATATACATTTTATGAAATAAAAAATTTGATTGATAACATTTTTTCTTTAAAAACTTATAAGAAAAAATCATTTTCAGAAACGAAAAAGGAAGGAAATAAATTTCAACTAATATTACCTCTTTTACTAACCGATTTTAGAGAAAAATGATAATAAATTTAATTTTGGTAAGCATTTAATTAATTTAAACTAAATTTTAAAATATTAAAATAGCATTACTTTGAAAGATATTCTGGTCATCTCTTAAAACAGGTCTCTTAATCGGGTCTTGGAATTAAATCTTATTTTCGAATATCTAAAAGATTTAATAGGTATTATAATTTTCAATTAAGGAAATAGTTTAGGTGAAAAATCTCAGTTTTTTATGTTTTTCATTAATATTTCTAAATTTAAATATTTGGTACATTATTAAACTTAAAACATTTAATTTACCTTATTTCAAGTAGATTAAAGATTAAATTTTATATTAAAATTGTTTACAATTACAATATTTATCATATTTTCCTTTTTTGT